TTTTACTAAAATTTCCGCCAAGAAAGCAATTTTTCATGACAAATGTGTTATTATTAACATTATTTTTGCAAACAAAATTCGAATGTAACCAATTTTTTGCACGTTTGCGCATTGCATTGTGTTGATCTAGATTCGTTTTTTTCTTTTACGCTGGCGGAATTTCTCAGTTAAAAATAGCTAAATTCTGCCGGGGTTGAAGAACACTGCCGCAAGACTTTCTTCAGATCGCTTTGTCCTCTGCAATAGCAGTCCCACGTGAGGCACCCACACTTTCAATTGTGCAAAGCCATGACGGTTGGACATCGCAAAAGAGCCGCCACTTCCCTGCTGAAATAACGTAGCACCCTGAAACATGCCTCATACATACTCTGATGCTTGTAATGCAAATCACATTCGAAACTTCGATTAAATGCGCTTACCTCCACCTTCAATTAGAAACATTTCCTGTACTACTATCATTTATGATATCTTTTACATATATTCTTCTTTTGTAGTGAATTTTAAGAATTGCATGTCCAAGAGTGAATTAGTAACCAAGTTTTCTTTCCGAGAGAATGTCTGGGAGTTTAGTTTTTGAATAATTTCTCAGTTAATCTGTCTTTGAAGATGACACGTTGCAGAAACCTGAACGAGATTCCGTTGAATAGGCGTGGGCGGCTTCACATGCTTCACGTCACACTAAAGAGGACGTCGTCCCGTAAGGAACCAAAGGGTCAGGTGCGACCGCCAGCAGCTGCTCCCGTGCACTGGCGCCGACTCCCCACGACCTCCCTCCGCTCCTCTCACCCTCCTCCCACACAGGTACTACGGGTCGAAGTGCACCGGCCAAAAGTTCAAACTCGAGCAAGGAACTCCGTCCACCGGAGAGCGAAGCGATAGAGCTAGGTGGCTCCCAGCGTTCGAGGGACTAGACCGAGAGCACGGAGCGAGCGGCAGGAAGACGCGCGAGAGCGAAGGCGCAGCCCCCCGGCAGCGCCATCCCCGGCCGCACGGCGCCGCCCCGTCCCCCCTCGCCCCGCGCCCTTCCCCTCCGCGCTGCCCACCCCGCCCCCCTCCAACCTCATTGGGCTTTCTCGTGTAGCAACGAACATTGAGCGGCCTATGTCGAAACCGGCCGAGCGAGCGCCATGCCGGCGCAAGCGTTCCCCCCCCCCCCCCCACACACGCCACTCGCCCCTCCCCCGCTCGCCGCCCGCCACGGCACCGGACTCCGGGCGGCAGCGGGCCCCGCCGAAACGGCCGGCAAGGCGCTCCGACGCTCGGTCGCGACGTTGGCGGCCGCCTCCCCCGGCGCGCCCTCCGCCCCGCCCCCTGCCCCCCGCCGCGGCCGCCGGGCCCTCCCTGACAAAGCGGCCTGCCGCCGCGCCCCGCTGGCTGCTGCAGGGAACGGAAGGTGAACTTCGCGAGAAGGAAAGCAGTGCGACCAATCCGGCCCGCCGCAACGACGTACGCGCATCGGCCTTCGGCCGTCAACGCACAGTGGGCGCGCGCCCGCCCGCCTCCGCCCTCTCCTCTCCCTCAGCCCCGCCTCCTCTCTCTCCCGCTGCCTTTCCACTATCCACCCGCCCCTGTCCCTTTCCCCCCCCCGCTGCCGGCACGCCGACCGCGTCCCCGCCCCGCCCATCGCCTCGCCCCCGCCCCGCCGCGCCACGCCCCACCCCCACCCTCTCGCGCGCCCGCCGCCGCTGCCTCGCGCGCCCTCCGCCTTCGGCGCTCGGACGAGCGGGGCGGCGGGGGGCGTTAGCACGCGGGAGCGGGCGGGGCCCCCAGGGCGGGCGTGAGCGGGCTGGCCAGCGGTGCGGCGGGCGACGCGGCGCGGCTGGCCCGCGAGGGCAGGCGGCGAGGACGGGCGAGGCGGAGAGGCGGAGCGGGCGGGGGGGGCGAGGGCGAGCGGCGGTGGGGACGCGGCGGGGCGCCACGCGCGTGGTCCAGCAACGCACCGCCTCCCCGCTTGCCCCGGCCGCAGAGCCTCCCGCCGACGCGACTCTACTCAAGCACCGAGCACAACGCAAGCCTTCACAGGTGCAGCAGGGGACCCACAGGAAGACTGGGTCTAGGGGAAGGAAGAGGGAATGGAAAAGGGAAAGGGAGGGGAAGGTTAAAGGGAGCGAAGGGAAAGAATGGAAAGGGAAAGGAAAGAGAGGAAGGAAGGGACTCGACCCGCGCTGCCCAGCGCTGAGGCTCTGCTCTCCACGCCATTCGAACACGGCCGCCGCGCTCTGTTCCCAAAGAGAAGCTACGAACACTACAATGGTTGACCTCCGAAAGCAGCATCTTTGAAATTTAAAAAAAATCAAAATGCTTTGAAAATCCTTCGCTATTTACCTGAGCAAACGTGCGAAGAAGGATTCGATGTCTGATGACTGTGCTAACTTTAAGAACTGTGCTTACGAACGAGTAGTAAGAACGACGAAGTAATAATCAATGGTATTCAAAAGGAAAATCCCTACAAACATAAAGAATAAGAAAATACTTCAATACTTGCGCCGAAGTATCAATGCCAATATCCATGTCCTTAACACTTTTACATCTTACTCCTTTACCTTGACATTCCCTGTGACGTGACGACACCAAGTTTCGTTTCGTCTTTTATAACGTGGCATTCTGCACATTTATTTTGTCTATAATATTCTGTAGCCCCTGCAAACGTTTTTTTAAATATCCGTAAAATCGAAGTACATTGTGCCATTTTTGAAATTCCGTTATATTTCTCAAAACATTATTTTTAAATATTATTTTTATATTAAATTGTAAATTCTAATGATCAAGTTTTGATTTCAGAAATAGTTTTATAACATACTTAGTATGAATATTAAAATTGCTTTTTGTTGTCTCTCAATTCTCTTGAACCCCTCTCTCTGTTTCTTTTCCTCTTGTTCTTATGTATTATCTTTATCTTTCTTCATATTTCACTGTCTTTATTTTATCACTTTCTTCTTCTTCTTCCCTGCTTTTTTCCTCCCTATTTATAATTTTCTCCCTTTGTCTATTGTTCTTTCCCAATCTACCTTTTTTCTTTTAATGTCAGCTTTACTTTTATATCTTTTCTTCTTTTCTCTCGGTTTTTCCCCTTCAATTACTTACTTTCTCCAACTTTCTCTGATCTCATTCTTCATTTTATCGCATACTCTCTCTTTTTCTGATCTTTTTATCTTCTTTTTTTCCATATAGTATATTTCATTCTCTTTATTTTTTGATATTTCTCTCTTAGCCTCTCTTTCTATTTTTTCTCTCCTCTCTCTTTGCAACATTTCCTCGTTTATCTCTATCGTTACCCGACGTCTTCCTTTTTTCACATTTTTCTTCCCACATCCACACTCCAAATTCCTTTTATAATTCTTATCATAAGTTTCGAACTCTCAAATTCTTTATTTTCAACATTTTTGGTTTCTTCATGAACCAGGTTTCTTCACATTTTCATTAACTTCATTTTTTGTAAGGTTACTGAATGTTTTTCGTAGAACAAAGACAATTGACGTATCTTTAATGCTCAAAAAGCTTTGCTTGGCTGCATTTATCTTCATTTTTCAAATTCAATTTATAAGGGTTGATTCACTAAGTCAGCTCCCTCCTTTGGGGGAGCAGCTGTGAAGAAACGGACCCTGAGCGTCTCCTGTATGGAATGTGCAGATTGGAAACGCTCACTTCCAACCTTCCAGTCAATCCGGTGAACACATCTCTCAAATGTATGGGACAGGGTGGAAACATGCTAATTATTTAACCAAAGCTACACAGCGAATAAATAAATGTCTGTTAACATGTTTCCAGGAAACTTATATCGTGTTTTTTTCTTACTAAGCGTGATTAATTACGGGTACGCATGCGGACAAGAGCATGATTGCCTTATACTTTACAGGACAGTGCCACATAGATCAATTGCAACTCACTCCATAACCATAATGTACCTGTTTACCTCACATTTTCTCACCATTGTAACAGCATTAATGAAATTCAGTGATACGAAATTTCCAGACTTCCTGAGAACAATTCATGTAGTGTTTGCAGCAGCGATAGGTAAGTCTCCTTTACGAATATCGTACTACGCATGAATAATTAGTTGACAATTTATTTACATTATTTAAACATTTAAAATGCCACAGTGAATATTGAATATGAAATCTTTTTTAGAAGGCGATAGCGTTATTTTATGCATATTTCATTACTTTTCTGCTGCAATGTTGTTTCTCATGAAGCAAGCGTATGTCAGGCAGAAAACACTGTATTTGCAGGAGTCGCATGTACCATTGATATGTTGTGCGAGGTTTGAGCGCGCTCTTTGGAACTCTTTGGGAATAGAAGAAGCGCTCGATAGCCAGGCCCAGGTCAAGGGCTCGCTCCGCCGCGGGCCCTTTGCCCACGGCGCGCAGACAGCAGAGCCTCTTCGCTAGAGGGCCTCGCCCGCTCGCCTCTACTGGACAGGGCTCTCCCCTCCCACGGCCAGGCAAAAGCAGGCCACCGTTTCAACGCATCGTTCGACGATGGTAGTTAATGTATATTCGCATTGACAGAATGATAATTTCTATGAATGAATGACAACAAATGCGTATTGTTTGCTCAGAAATGCGTCAAAACATTTACTGATATGACAATAATTATAATTTTATACGTTTCATTTTTAACATTTTTTGTGTATTGAGTTCATAAAATATTTCAAAAAGTTGTAGCATTTTAGTTTAAATGATACATTTTTTATTAGGACACATTAATGTTACTCTCCGCATAGTAAACAAAATTGAATTAATAATCTTGCACAAGGTTACTTATATTTTTTATATATATATAATTGCACGTTTCGTACACAGTTAATATAATGAAAACGCATTTCACGTTGTTGCGTCGTAAACAAAAATTAGAATTTTATTTACGCGTACGCAATACCCAAAGAAGGTGTAAATTGAATCTCAAAAGAGATCTCATAACTTGAACCACCGGAAACACTCTGGCCGCCATTTTGAAGGGCGCAATTTTCGGCCCAATGGCGTTTGTTTCCCGCGTCCAGTTCCATTAGAGGTGAGAGGCATCGCATCGCCAGCCCAGCGGCGCTGAGCAGGGCTCGCAGGGACGTGCACAAGAGAGCGCGCCGCCGCCCCTCCGCTCCCGCGCCCCGGCCCGCCCCGGCCCCTTCCAGCGCCCTGCGCTCCGCCCGCTACTCGCGCGCCTCTAACATCCACTTATGTTTCTACAATTATCACCCTCTAGATGGCCCAGCAATCGTGCGGGTTAACCTCTTTGTGCGAAGCATAGCGACCATTAGTGACATCAAGATGGTAAGTGTGGGTCGGGCGCGCTCGGCCTGTCCAGGCAGCCTTCGTTTTGAGTCTTAGCCTTTCAGTCTGACAGCCTTTCGTTTCTCGGCCGGACGAGCCTCAGCGATCGCAGGTGCGAGCCGCAGCGCCGCCAAGGATGCCGGGTCGCCCCGCCCCAACACCCCTCCCCCGCACACACCCTACACTCACTACCCCTGCATCGCACCCACACTGCACTCGCACAGCCAACCACAGGTGGACCGCGTAGATAATTACCTTCATGTGCGCATGCGCCAATTGTTTTTGACGGTGGATCTCCCTCTGCAGTCATCGCCTGCTGCTGGCCAACTTTCCCTCCGTCTTTCAACCTGAGTGTCGCCACGCGTTCGGAATCGGTGACAGTTGATGCTATCGAAGCACGAGTGTGTCACAGGCAGTTAATATCACCAATCGCCCAGCCCCGGTTGACAGTTGCGAACCCCTCCGAGCCGCGCCCGATGACCTCCCACTCTGAGCTTGAAAGGCTCATCGAAGTCGTGAAAGACAAGGTCATTTTCTACGCGGTACATCTGAAACATACAACCGGAGGAAACCTCAAACGATAAAATCCTACTTGCCCAGGAATAAAATATATTAAAATTATAAATAAAACAAAATATTTATAATTTAAAACGATTCCCGTTACTCTAACACATCCAATATGATTTTTTTCCTAAAAGAGCAATATTTTCAATATTAGCTTTCATTTGCCGATTTAAGCATTCGTCATTAATAACAATATTTTTAGAAACTGTTTGATTTATTAAATTATTTTTTCTTATACTTCTTTTCGCGTTACATTTTTACTAACGTAGATTTATGAAAATTATCATTAAAATTATATTTATTAAAACTAGTTACCCTTATACCACCGACTTCATTCACATCTATTTCCATGTTTATTTTTCTAGAAATATTTCGTTAACTATTTTGAATAATTTGCAAAGTGAGATATGCATTTTCATTTACTCCTGGTTTAATCATTACAACTTTTCGATGAAGTCGGCTTTTTTAGAAAAATATGCTCCTTTAGATAGTCAATTCCATAGCCCAGGAACACAACGGATCCCTGGCTCATCCATCGGTTTCACCCAGCAGAAACTCTTCCACTGAGTTTGTTCCCTTGCCATCCCGAAGGTCGGCATCCTTCGAGGCCTGCTGAAGTCTCAATTCTCCTGCCTACTCCTTTAGAGCTGTAAATCTGCTTTCAACTTTCCATTGAGAAAGTATCTTTTTATTTTGACTGTTTCCTTACGTCTTCTTACCACTATTATCACTAAGCTTTCACTAAGAAATCTCAGTATCTAATTGACGCATTAAACTGAATTTCTATAAAACAGCTAACTAAATTTATAAAATAATGAGCATTATTGTCGTTACCGCTTAACCAAAAAATAAAGTGGGACGCGTTCCCGCTCTAAACTGAGTGCATAGTGTCTGGGTGCGTTTGCTTTCACGGCGTCACCTGCCACGACTTTCCGAGCACGCCTCAGCGTTCTTCTCTTGGCTTCCCCTGAGGCACATCTCGAGTGGAAGCATTTCCATCTAGGTAATTCAAGAGCGTCACGAACGGTTGTAGTTCAAACTCCTTCGCACACCAAAATTGTAAATACTTCATCAGCGTGGTTATTCGTTTGTAACTCGATGATGGCTGATGTAGACACGATCATTATCAAACTAATAGAAAGGATTTTGGAATATTGGATACTATGCTCGAAGAGATTTATAAATCTTGAAAACACGTCGATATTTAAATTGCTTTTATTTTTCGGACGCCGGTTGATTAACTGACTTTTCGGCCGTGCACACTACAAGCATAAATGAAGTAAAATGAACTCCATTTACGGTGGTTCATTACTTTCTCCGAAGACGTTTTATCAAATGTGAGGCGCATATTTAATATTTTCAATTTGGGGCAGCGCTGTCTCCAGTTCTAGAAAGTTCTCTCAGACACCAGCAGTGGCAGAGCTAGTGTCGCGCTGAAGAGGCGGTGCTAGGGATGTTGCGATAAATCGATATGATATTTGGAATCGATACCTGGAAGAATCAATTCGTTTATATTATCAAAACTCAATTTTCGATAGTTCCAATAACTAAAATTTTATTGGTTTCAAATTAAAAAACAATATTCTTTAGAAACACTTGAAACTCTTCTTACCTTATTTTTAATAAATACATAATATTATCCGATATCATCTCAGATGTTATTCATTTAAATAAGGGAAAAGCAGCGTGTGTTTTTCCTGTGACAATACTACACAATAGTCATTTGAACAGGGGTAATATTGGGGTAGAAAGAGCACATTTTACATGTTTACACGATTACTTACGTTTACCGAATAGATATATTATATACAGTAATATTTAGTTTTCGTTACTGTCAAGGCAGTATTGTTATATCTTCAGCGGTATCATTGCTTCTACCTTATCGATTCAGAATATCAAATACATTACGTATCGATAATTACAGTATCGAAGCGTGTAAATCAATAATATCGTGCTGTCGATAACCAAACTATTGTGGTTTCGAATGCTCTAGGTCAGTTTGTACCAGATTTATTGAAAAGGAAACTATCGATACCGTACGTACCGAAATTATCGCGACGTCCCTAGGCGGTGCTGCAGCGAGGGCCGCGCCCCTCCCCGCCTCCGCCCTCCCGGCCCGTTGGGCGTCGCTGTGGGGCAGGGAAGAAAACAGAAATTATTGAGTGCACAGCGATAGGCCGCACAGTCCAGCCCTAGAGGGTCAATGGATCACCTGGCCCGCGCGGCGTGGCAGGCGTTCTACCAGGCGCGAGGACAATGACTGGAGATTACACAGCTGAGAACGGAACTGAGCGGGGCGGGCAGAACTAATGGCAAGCTCGTGGTTGACTGTCCGGCTAAGTTATGGTCAAGAGTATAAACAAATGAAAAGAACGCAGCCAACTAGACAATCACTCGCTGGCACGAGCGAGAGAAGCATTGCGCATGCGCCGAAGACGGCCGGGCGCCGTCGCCAAGATTGCCGCGCGGGATGGCGTGGGGCGTGGCGGGGGCGGCGCGGGCGGGGCGGGGCGGGC